TTTATGTTCGGGTTGATCAGACCCGATCCAGTAAAAAAAATACATAATATAAATAAAATGAATGAATTAATTAAGATAATTAACTTAATTTATGATTAGTAATATTAATTAATTTTAATTAAATAAATTAATCATATTTATTGATTTTAATTTAAGATAATTATATTATTTATCTTGATTAAAGATTAATAATGTGATTAATTAATTTTAATTAATGTTAAATTAATTATTTAATTAAGTTAATTATCATATTAATTAATTTAAATCCTTACTTTCTGTTAATTTTAATCAAAGTCTAAATTATCTTTTCTCATTTTTATTTCATCCAAAACTTTTATAATTAAACAATTTAGTCCACATATTTCAACTCTTTTCAAATCAGTCTTCCATGTTTTGAATTTAATTAAATCAGTCCTCCATGCTTCGAGTTTAATCAAATTAGTCCTTTAGCTTTTTATTTATGTTCATTTCGCACGCATGTTCTCGAATTTGTCCATTTTAGTCCAAATGGTTTTTAAATATTGCAATTTGGTCCATCTATTTCTCAAGTTTACTTATTAAGCCTAAATATAAATATAATGAATAAGTTGAATTAAAACCTCCAATTTTAAAGTATGCAACCGTGTTTAAGCAGAGGATTATAAGGTGTGCTTTTGCCTTTTTCACTCCTAATCGAATCTCTAGATTTCAATCTCCGTATAGATTTTTTTTTTTTTTTGTGACTTGTCTCATCTTATAATTCGGACGAGTCCCATCTTATAATTTGGATGAGTGGCGATTCCTTCTTTTTATATTTTCACACTTATTCCTTTTAAGTGGTTGTCAATAGGAGGTCATTGCAATAACGAAGAGGTTAGATGCTGAAATTTTCTGCAGGTATATTTACTTGAATAGTTGTAGATCTCGTCAACGTTCGCCTCATTTACCTCCCTCCCTTCTTTTTCTTTACATCAAATTTCTCATCCTATCCTTATTCCTTGTTCCTTGACCTAAGTTTCAAAACCCAAGAGGTATTTCATCTATCTTTTCTACTTTCTTTCCTTTGTTTTTCTTGGCTGTTTGTTACTGTAAATCTTCCTCTTACTGTAAGTGGATTTATTGTTTTTTTTTTAATATCTGTATGCTTTGTGAATTCTAGTTTCGAATACCTAGAAATTTTTAGTTGATTCAATATCTTATGGCATTTAAGATGAGAAAAGATGCAAATGAAGATATTAACTCTCTATACATTTTTTATTTTAAAATGTTAACTTTATTAGTTTTTAAATAAGAATGTTAATTTTAAAATTTTTTATATAAAAATATCAATTTTTAACATTTTTTATTTAAGTATATTAACTTTCAAAATTTTCTATTTAATGATATTAACTTTCAGTTTGTTTTAATTTAAAGATATTAACTTTCAATTTTTTCTATTTAAGGATTAATTAAATGGTGATATTGATGTGAAAAATGTATTTTTTTTTAAAATGTTAACTTTTAACTTTTTCTATTTAAGGATTAATTAAATGATAATGTTAACATAGTAAACGTAATGTTTAAAAAAGATTAACATCCTTAAATAAAAACAACTAAAAATTGATATATTTATTTAGAAACTAACAAAATTAATATTTTTAAATAAAAAATTATAAAATTAACATCTTTATTTATACATTTTCTCCATTAAGATATTCTCCTACTTCCACTACTTTCCTTTTTCTTTTAGAATAGATTCCACTTACACTTAGCACTGACAAAGGTGCAGTGGATCTATTGTTTTGGGTAATACACTCTCTCATTCAAATTCAATCTTTTTTATGTTGTATATGTGATCTTCATGGTTGGACCAAAAAAAAGAAAAAAAAGAAAAAAAAGATGCAATAATAATTTTATTTGTCTGTTGTTCTCTAGGTAGGATTGTAAAACTTGAACCGTTAAAAATGATGGTCTATGAATTTGGTTTCAGTTGATAATAATTGTTGTTAAGTCTGACTCTATTTGAAATACATAGCAATTTTTGTTTTTATATTTAACTAGTTAGTTAATTTGAAAGTAATTTGTTTTCCAAACATGTTATTATTTTATCAAGCACATTTATAGACTAAAATTTCATTTTTGATGTTTCTTTGTTTTCTTGTGTTTGTTTTGTTTCAGACAATAAAAACTGGTAAAAATTTGTTGCCTTGGAGCGAGCTATGTTGGTGGGCCAATCATGGTTGTGATTGCACTGAAGTGTTCGAAAATTGAAGTAGCAATTGTTGATATTTCTACGCCAAGAGTCAATGCTTGGAATAGGTGAGCAGTTCCCAATCTATGAGCTTGGGCTTGATGAAGTGGTGAAGGAGTGCAGAGAAAAGAACCTATTTTTCAACATAGATGTGGAGAAGCATGTAGCAGAAGTAGATATAGTCTTTGTTTCAGTCAACACGCCAACCAAAACACAAGGCCTTGGGGTTGGGAAAGTAGATGAGTTAGGATGCGTTTGAGATTGCTGTGAGATGTTATGAATATAGTTATAGTTATAGTTATGATTGTAGCAGTAGCTATAACTATACTGAATTGTGTTGTACTGTAACTATAGGTGAAAGTTATTTTGGCGTTTGATTATTCATTTTTTAAAAGTATCATGGATAAAATATGGTAAAATTTATTAATTATTAATTAAAATTTTAAAAAATATTGTATAATGTATAATTACTAAAATAGATAACATTTACTACTTTTTAATAATTTAGGTTTTTTAGGTTTTTTATGATGGTTTTTTTAGATTTCATGAGAGAGTAACTCATAAGGAGGGAATGATTTTTTAATTTTTTTATGAAATTTTCAAATAAACAAAATGTTAAGTTTAAATAAAATATTATAAATTATGATGTAATTGAATTAAATTAGGTTGGATTTTAATAAGTAATTTTGTAATTGTATTAAACATTAGGTGTTGTGGATGAAAGCTGCACTTAGAAAACTCTAAAATGAGGCTTTTGACTTTATATATAAAATTGCTGTAGATCTACTATATTTTTCTACAGCTTTTGGAAAAAGTAGTCTAAAAAAAATTACTAAACATACATCTATCTACAAGCACTTTACAGCTATAAGAAAATATTCTCAGCCACAATCCCAAACGCACCCTTAACCTATTGGGAGAGTGTTGCTTGAATGATTGTTGATATAGCTAAAGTAGACAAGATTATAGTTGAGAAATCAACTATCTTTGTTAAAATAGCTAAGGTAATAAAAAAGATTTTGCCTCACAATAGCAGTGGTACCAATTTTAGATCCTTTCTAACTAGAAATTCCTTGCTGAAGGAACTGTAATTAAGGACCTTTTTATCCTTGATAATGTTCTTATTGGAGGCAAGGAGACCCATAAGGTGCAAAGGTAGTAAAAACATTGAAAAATGTTTATGGCCACTGGGTCCTTGTGGAATGAATTATATGCACCAACCTTTGGTTTGTTAAGCTCTCAAAGCTTGTTGCCAATGCCTTCTTAGTGCAAAGACTCTCCTCAATTAACGCCATGTTAGCACTATGTGAGGTTACTGGGCAAATGTTACCCAAGTCTCATATTGTTGGAAGGGCAATAGGAATTAGGCCAAAGTTCTTGCATGCTAGTGTAGGTTTTTGTGGCTCTTGTTTCCAAAAGGATTTTTTGAACTTAGTCCATATTTGTGAATGCAATGGCTTGCCAGAGATAGCAAGTTACTAGAGGCAAGTGATTAGGGTGAATGACTACTAAAAGAATTGGTTTGTGAATCATATTTTTTCCTTGATGCTTAAGACGGTTTTTGAGAAAAAGATAGCCATCCTTGGGTTTGCTTTCAAATAGGATACTAGTGACACGAGGGACACCACTAAAGAATAGCATATAATCAACCAAAAATATTATCGATTACGAAAGGAATTTTGTTGGTTATAAGTATAATCGATAAACATAACCAACAACCATTTATGTTGAATAAACAACTGTTGAAAATGATTATAAACGTAGAATTTTTTTCTGTCGACTATAATGCCGTTAATTGACAAAAGTCGATGATAAAATGTATGGTAAGATTATGTTTGAATAAAAGTAACATGTTTGACAACCTTTGGTGATCAATTATAAGTATGATCAACAGCATTTGGCTGTTGATCATATATTCTAAGAAATTTAAAAAACTTTATCAATAGTCACTTTTTGTTGGTTAAAACTATTTTGTTGATTATCTTTTTTAATTTTTTAGCACATAAAATCGATAGCCATTGGTTGTCAATTATATGTGCTATAGCTATAAAAAAAAATACAGAATTCAACAAAATCCAAAATTATATTTATGATTTTTTCTATTAATTAAATTATATATAAAAAATAAACAAAATTTAATATAAATATCAAGTCCAACGACAATATATATTAAATAATGTTAAGAATAATATAAAAAAATAATAGATAAACATAAGTAAGATTAAAAGTAGAACTTATTTTAAGATCAAAATTCTACAAAAAAGAAAAGAAGAGAAAAATGCATTGGCATATATTCTAATTTTATTGAGGTAAAAAAAGAAGAAGAAAAGTATGAATTAAACTTAAAAGAAGAATTTATCTCATAATTAAGGTGATATAATTTGCAAAAAAAAAAAAATAGTATATCTAATAATAAGAATTCTTAATTGAGAATTAAATTGAAGTAATTGGATAATGCATAAAAAAGAAAAGATTGAATGAGAAGGATGAAACAGAAAGAAGATGAGCAAACAATTGCTATAAAAAAAGATAATGGGAAAGGTAGAAAGGAAGGATGAAATAAAAGAAGAGACATTTACAAATATACAAAAGGGTGAAGATAAAAGATGACAAAAAAAAGAAAAAAAGGAAAATGAAAAGAGAATAAGTTGAAAGAAAAATGGGGCTCCCTAATTGTGGGAAAGAAAGAGAAAGGCAATGGTAGTAGAAGATAAGAAAAAAAAGAAAACATTTGGATGTTCTAAATTTGGAGGACTATATATAAGTAATATATACGATAAAAATTTTATTGGTTATATTTAAAATGGTTGTCATTTATAAGTTTCAAATCTACTAAGTCGGGAGATTCAATTTGTTTAGGCAGAATGGGCAAGATCTAAGTATAATTGATAGCTTCTTCTTGCTGTTGGTTATGTTGTTATGAATGACAGAAACAATGTTGTCAGTTATATATTAACCCTATATATATGCTATGCTATTTTTAATATGGATATATAGTTTTGTTCTTTTTTTTAACTGGTTTGTTGTTTCTTTATAAAGTACTATGTTGTGCTATTTTTGTTTTTGTTTTTATTTTTTTTAAATGTTGTTTCTTTAAACTAAAAATTTAATTATCATATGATTGTAAGATTTTTTAATTAATATTATATATTTATTAATGTAAAATCTAATATTACGTAGCTAAAATTAGTACTTCTCATATTGCACAATATATATGTATACACTACACATATATAAACATATATACCATAAGTGCAAAATATCAATGTCCCTAAGTAAGAGGTGATAGCTGGTCAAATCTAGACCCTCCAAAGGAAGGATCACTAGGCTGGGGTGGTGCAAAACCTTTTGTCACGCCCCAGAACCCAAATTCGGGGATGCGACAGACGCCGTGCACTCGTGAGACGGGTCCCACAAGTGCACAAGGCTCGGAACTTATTCAAATCACAATCTGATACCACAAAATTTCAAGATAAAATTTTACCATTTGCTCTGATATCATAAAATCTCCAAATACACTCTAGCTTGCAAGAGCATGATTTATTTCTAAATCTATACCAATCTCGAAATGGCTA